CAACGAAGTTTGGCTAAAAGAAATGTCTTAAGTTGGAGCATTAAGGGGCATATGTATATTCAGCAACTCATTGAGAAAAAAAGAAGACCACATAAAAATAAAGAGATGTGGAATATTGACTTTTCTGCCATCATAAAAGTGAAATAAGCCAAGGGCACAGTTGGAGGAAGGCTAGATAGAAAGGTCTGGATGAAGCTCCTGCTTCCACAGCACTGCTTGTAGGGATGGTCCCAGGGGCTTCTCCCCAAGTTAATGATATTAGAACGTGAAAAGGCACATGCAAATGAGGTTGATAGTAATTGGTATAAAGCAACACCAGGCAGAGCCAACAGCTCCCTTCCTCTTCCTCCGGATGAAGTCTGGAGAGTGGTTTGGGAGGGGTTTGTGAACTGTTTAAAGTATGAATTCATGATTGGTAATTTTACATTGTAAATAAAAGGGATTCTATTGACCTTGTTTGCTGGGACAATGTTTACCTAAGGTAGATAAGTTGCATCTCTTCTTCACTTGTGTATACGTAAACTATAGGTTTGTGCAATCACTTTGCCTCCCCTGGTCTATCAGATGGCCAGTTCTGCATGAAGGATGCCTCAGAGCAGAAAGAGCAGAACTTGAACTGTTGATGTAGTGCTTTGTTTTTTTGTTTTTTAATTGGTTTTGGTTGATAGCAACTTTGGCAGTTTGCTGCCTTGATTATTCTAACTTCCAGCAAGAAAGGCCCAGGAAGTTCATCCAAAGGGATTAATATAGAAGATACTCACTTTTACCAAGGGCTTGCACAGTCATGGGACCCTCACAGATCTCTGTGAAGGAAATATTCCTATGCACATTTGACAAATGAGAAGACAGAAGCTAGAGAAGTAGAGAGACTTGCCCAGGCTTGCCAGCTCTTTAAGGGGTACAGGTGAGGCTAAAGAGCTGCTTCTTCCGAGTCATGGGGATTACTTACTACACCACTCTGCTCCTCACTAAGTAACAATATGATCAGAACCAGCTGTGTTTAATAGCAATAAGGCCTAAGTGCATAAAGTGGGTCAATTGGATTAATTAGTCTCAAGACAAGTGTATAAGGTGAATTAATTGACTTTACTACTGCTCCGTTCTTCCTCTAAAGAGGATCAATGAGCAAGTTTCTCATTGACTTGAGCCAGTTGCTAGGCTTGGAGTGAGCAGTTTTCTCTTTCTAATGGTGTCCTCATTTCATTCTCTCATGGATAAGGCAGGCTTTGTCTCTGCAGTTACCTCCCAACAAGACAAGACAGTTGGTTGTCTTAAACCC